CTAGATATTATACCTAAGCTCATTTTACTAAGGAGTACAATTGAGCAAATTGACTTATATGTAGGTACAAAATTTCTCTTACGTTTATTCAAAGTACTATATTTTTGAAATATAAAATTTAAATATATCTCATAGAAAATGTGATATCATCACTATAGTTTTCTCATCTATCCAATTGTTGTAAGGCAAATGTTAAAAAATATATTGTATTTAGGAATGTGGCCAAAATTAGCTTTGTTCTTCTTGGTCATTTTTTTCTATCGTATTAAATAATTAATTTTTCAAGCTCTGATTTATAAAATAGAAAAATAGATTTTGCAATTTAACATTTTTTTAGTTGATTCTTATTAAAAATTTTATTTTATATTATTCCAAGCCATTATATTGTCCTTACATGACTCCATCCAGTATTCCAGTTATCTCAATCAATATGTCAAGCAATTCTACCATCCATTTCACTTTTGCGAGTAGACTTTGCAAATAGGGGTGAAACCAGCCGAACACGAGTGAGCCTAGGCTCAACTCGTGTTCGGCTCATTCATATTTCGAGCTCAAAAAGTGTGGTGGTGGATCATTTGCTTAGCGAGTTGAACCCGAGCCGTTCACGAACAAAGAGTCGTTTTAACAACCCTTATCACGTAGTCATAAGATGACGAGCCGTTCACGAACAAAGAGTCGTTTTAACAACTCTTATCACGTAGCCATAAGATGTTAGGGATTGGGGAAAGATTTAAAACATCATTTGAATCTAATTTAATAATTTTTATTCTATTTTCTTCATTAATACTTTTAATTGATTATAAATCTTTGCAACCTTGTTGTCAATTAAAATTTTTAAAAATACTACTCGTCAAAGAAATATATATAATTGATTAGTAGTATTTCGAGCCAAAACCAGCCGAACATGAACGAGCGAACAAATATTTGTTCGTGTTGTTCGTGTTCAGCTCGTTAACTTAGCGAACGAGCCGAACACGAGTTGTTTGTATACAACCCTATTTGCAAACTTATAAAATCTCAAGTTTTAATTAGAAATAATACTTCGTCTAATAAAGTTGACCTGCACTTGAATGTCATCATATGCTTAACTGAATTTCAAAAAGTGTTCCAAATTTAAAAATGCCAAAGGTATAAGATTAGTTAGTTTCAAATTTTGTTATGGTTAGTTAAGCATCAAAATCAGTGCAGGTAATTGGCTTTAGGGTCCCAAAGGTTCAGGTAAGAACAGATATTTCGGTTCATGTAAGAATAAATTCAAATTGTTATATAGAGTTGTTACTAACTTGAAAATTGATGGAATTATGGACAATCATTAAAGCTTGAAGCTATGTATTGCGAATTTTTTTCTTAAATAAAAGAGAAAAATAAATGCATCATCTGTACAAAAGAGCTAAGAGAATAAATACATTTAAGAATTGGATAGCATTTAATTAAAATAAATAAATGATAAAAAGAGGCATACACCCCAAAAACCATATAAGGAAAGCTAGAGCCGAACGGGTGGGGTTTGTTGATGAAATCAAGTCATTAAGCCGCTTTTAGAAGCTTTTGGTGCTCAATTAGAAAGTAAAATGAATTTTAAATTTGACATGCTTTTAGTCAAATCGAGTGTTTCACAAGATGAGTCAAACATGTAAAATATCAATCAATTCTAACCGTGTTAAGGCACTTAAATGTCCACAAAATTTTATTCAATCACGAGAATCTCTCGGGATCATCTGATGAAGATGTTCAAATTCCTTTCATGCTTATAGAGCCCAAGATAGACCACGGACCGAGGAGGGAAACCTAGAGCTAGAGCTACACCAGGAAAAGAAAGAGTCAAATTCTAATATTATTCTTGACTGAAGAACAAACGAAAATTTTTTGCTCTCGTAGTTTTGACCACCATTGACGACCGCTCGTTGACCACCATCGACCACTATTTTCTCCATCTGCTCGTTAATGTTGATGAATCATACAGTATAATATGCGACCAACTATGACCTATGAGGTCTACAACACATGTAGCTCCTAGTTCCTGCATTTATGGTATGTAGACATTATTGTAGCTCACCACTAAAGCCTACGTGACCAACTACGACATATGTTGTCCACAAATCATACAACTCCCATAATGACATCTGTGGACTACAAACATTATCACAACTCACCACTATGTCCTATGTAACTAACTGTGGCATATGTAGTTTACAACTTTTGCATCTCTCTATTATGTCCTCAACGGCCAACTTATGCTCCTGACGCAACCATCTACGATGTTCATGGTCAATTATTACCATGACTTTCAAACACAGTCTCTATGACCAAAGTGCACTACAACCACTATCTACACTCACTATCTACAACATTCACAACTAGCTATTGCCTTCATAGTAGTCAACTACAACTTTTGTGCCAAATTACAACTATTATTGTTAAACTACCATTGTATACCAATATTGTAATTTCGCCTTTTAATTTGAAACCAGAGTGAGCATATAAACTTAAATTACATAGTGAATTATTTTGAATGAGCTAAACCCCGTGATTTTTTTTCTTTTCTAGAGTTTTCCACATAAAATTTTAGGTTTCTTCTTCTATTTAACTTTATATTATTTGTGTGTATGTTGGATCTTGTGATACACTGAAATAATAATTTATTACTCTACTTCTGTGGATTTTTAGGCAGACATCAACTATGATAGCCATAGTTGGAGGCTATAACAATTATATAGTTGGCAACATAAACCATATCTGTAGAAAGCTATCATAGCAGAACTAGGGTGATCAAAGTCATAGTTGGTGGAAATAATAGACAACAACTACTGATCAATGATGATCTTTGGTGGTTGATGACGATATTTGGTTATCGACAGTGAACTATGGTGATAGGCCACACTTGGGTGGCTGATGAACTCAGCTCACTTATTTCTTCTCCTCCTCCCTTCAAGTAAGAAAATGAGGACATATTTATAGCTTTTAAGAATGCCCCTTTGGTAAATTTAGCAAATTTCCCAAAATATTTCATCAGACTATTCGCATTGATTCCCTTAATTGCAGATACTTCATTCAACATTTAAGTGTCTTAATGACCTCTAAATTGAATGATATTGCTCTCATTTGATTCTTCTTATCGATATGCTTGATTTGATTATAAGCATACCGAACTTTGATAACTAGCTCTAATGGCGACTATCGTGAAGGTTCATTCACGAAGGCAATTGTTTTGGGCAAAATCGAGAGGGTAGTTTCTATATAAATGGATAAAATTTTTAGGAAAAAAAAAATTAGATGTTAGATATATAAATACAAAAGAATTGGGTAGTTTCTATATAAATGGATAAAATTTTTTTCCCAAATGTTCCCCCCAGACATTTTTACCGCTGACAGTGGTCTATTGTTGTACGTATGTAAATACGTAAAAATTTGGGAGCATGTATGTAATTTCAAGGTGAGAAAAATCTCAATGGTGAAGTCCCACATCCGGGCATTGCCAAACATTTAATTAAGAATCCATTATAAATATAAAATAAAATGGAGCAATTCAGAAGCCGTCAGCTTTGCCTATTGGTAAAATTTGTAAAGCAAAAATGTTATATTTTTTCTCATTGTTCTAAAAATATTTAAAATAAGAAAATAATAATTTTTGAAATTTAATTCGAGTTCAAACACGAGCTTTATTAATGCAAATGAATTCAAATCGAGCTGATCACGAAAACACGAGCCGAAGACATCAAGAAAATATTCTAAGAAGCCAAAACACAAAAGAACTTTGGTATCGCTCGTTTACACCCCTATTTACAGTTAATTTGTATAGAGGTTCATTTAATTCCCTAAAGTTAAAAAAGATAACTAAAATTATGGGATCATCATTAACATTTAATATAACTAAATTTTATATATCTCTACTGTGTTTTTATTTTAACAAACAAAATGACTAAAAATGCACCATCATTTTTAACATGTGCTTTTCTATTTAACAACCGATTAAATAAGCCCACAAATAAAAAATGCATGATTTATAAAAAGCAATTAAAAGCTAAAAACAATTTTGCGTGCATCAAATTTTTGCCATGAACATGTACTAAAAAAAACAATACATTTACCTACAAGCCACCCAATTCATATATATTTACATATCTACCTTTTAAATTTTTATTTTATATTTATACCACTCAAATCTGTATAAATATACAAAAAAAAAAAATCATAAATCGTGAATCCATAGAACTCATAAATCGTAAATCACCTGATCTACAGTCCCGATGTATTTCGATGGGCCCCACCTAAATTTTTTTTTTATTTTTTTTAAAAAATGGCCCCACCTAAATTTTTTTTTTTTTTAAAAAAAAATGGAAATAATCCTGTATGGAAATAATCCTGACCCTAGATCACCGTGATCTACGGCCAGGATCAGACACCGCATGCAGAGATGCATGCGGTGTCCGCACGCAATAATTCCTCCATAACGGGACGGGATATTTATGTAAAGTTCGTCGACGTATGGAGATGTAATACTGGCCTTTCGTTTTTTACGAGAGCAATATCCTCCCCTTTCTATTAAAAAGAAAGGGAAGGAGGGGGGGATTAGAAAGTTTGGATAATGGCAGTGAGAATGGCTTTTTTCCAGGCCTATGCGGACAGTGCGTCTTTTATGTCATTTCTTTTTTTCCCTTTCAGTTGGGAGGAAAGATATAGGAGTCTGACATGAGTCTAATATAGCCTCCATTATATTGTTTTTTTAAACTCTCTTTCCTTCTCAGATCTGCCTCCTTCGCGAAGGGAACGAGATAGAGAGAGACAGACAGGGAGATCTATGATCAGTTCTATGTCGTTGTAAGAACTCCTAAGAAAAAGGAAGAAAAGGAGAGAGAGAGAGAGAGAGGAGCTGGTTTTCTATTATACAAATCCCCCTCGTCCCCCACGTGATCTTAAGCTTCCATCCATGCTTCAGGTATCTCTCCAAACAAAAAAGTAATCTTTCTTATTTAATTTCCCCCCCTCACCAAGATCTCTCTCTCTATTTCTCTTTCATCCCTCCCCTTGCTCTCTCTCTCTCTCTCTCTCTCGAAAGCCATGCAGGCCTCTTCTTCTCATCATGGAATCTTCAAAGCCTTTAGCTTTCAAGATCCGCTGTCGATCTATTGGAGCTGTTGTCTTTCGCTTCATAGACTCTGCTTGAGAAGATTATCTCTCTTCTTTGCCATCTAAATTTAGCCTTTTTAATTAATGTTCTAATAATAATTCTGATAATTGTTCATCTTAATTTTCAAGTTCTCATAATTTGAGATCCTTCCTGTTGCTTTCTGTTACAGAAGAATTTTTTTCATCTCCACGACAAGCAGAATTAAAGCCACCGCACAGTCGTACTACTACTGCTACTAGCTTTTTACACTAGAGGCAACTCTTTTGTGAGCTTGATGGCGACATACTTCCATGGCGCTTCTGAAATTCACCCCGATGGTCTCCAAACCCTATACCTGATGAACCCCGGCTACGTTGGTTACTCCCCCACCCGGCGCCCCGGCGGCCGCCAACATGGTCTTCCTCAACTCCGGTGGTATCCCCTCCCTCAATCCAATAAACCTCTCTCACTCCTCTCAATCTAACCACCAACAACAGCACTTTGTCGGAATTCCCCTCCCCCCGCCGGCAGAAAACACCGTTAGCCGCTTCCACTACAATCTCTGGAGTCCGGCGCCCGGAACCAATCTGATGAACCGCGGTACAACTCAACAAGGCTTATCGCTTAGCCTCTCTCCGCAACAACCGCCTCCATATGGTACTTACCGAGCGGAGGCTGAGGTTTCAACGCAAGTTCATGAGATGAGTAGTCTTGCCGGCGAAGATAGCGTGAAGCTCATGGGGACAACAGGGCCGCCGGGAGCAACAGAAATCCAAAGCGTGCTGATGAATTCCAAGTATTTGAAGGCCGCGCAGGAGCTGCTTGATGAGGTCGTGAGTGTCGGCAAAGGAGCTCGCGCAGAGACTTTGAAGAAAAATGGCGAGAAGAGTCCGATGAAGAGTAATAAAGAGTCGGATGGGAAGGGTGAGGGGGAATCAAGTGGGAAACGTGAAGTGGATCTCACGACCGCTGAGAGACAGGAGTTACAGATGAAGAAAGCCAAGCTCGTTGGTATGCTTGGTGAGGTAAGTAAAAGCTCCAATTCTTTTATTAATTCTAAATTTAAAAAAAAAAAAAAAACTACTATGTTGCATTATTGAAGTTTTCAAAACAGAGAAATTTTTTATAGATAAAAATAAAAAAAAAAAACGCCATAATTATCTAAGTCCTCTTCTGTTGACTGAAGGTGGAGCAGAGGTACAGGCAGTATCACCATCAGATGCAGATAGTTATCTCATCCTTCGAAGCAGTGGCCGGCCATGGTTCAGCAAGGACATACACGGCACTTGCTCTGAAAACCATTTCGAAGCAATTCCGTTGCCTGCGAGACGCTATCTCCGGACAAATAAAGGCGACGGGAAGGAGCCTTGGAGAAGAAGATTGCCTTGTGGGAGGAGCGAAGTCCATAGGTTCAAGGCTGAGACTCGTCGACCATCACTTGAGGCAGCAGAGAGCCCTTCAGCAGCTGGGCATGATGCAGCATAACGCTTGGAGGCCGCAGAGAGGTCTTCCCGAGCGCGCAGTATCCATCCTCCGTGCATGGCTCTTTGAGCACTTCCTTCACCCGTATGGAATCCATTTCTTGTCTGGCTCTTCTCTGCTTCTGCGCAGATTGTCTCTTGCGTTTCTGTAATTTTTTGGTGTTTGTGGTGAAAAATTTTGCAGGTATCCGAAGGACTCAGACAAGCTCATGCTCGCAAAGCAGACAGGGCTCACCAGAAGTCAGGTGCGGTGTTTAACTTTGCATCATTAAAAGAATTTTAAATAAATAAGGGTTAAAGGTAGCCGTGACATTTTCTTTTATTTGGAAAGATTTACCTCAATTCTTATGTATTTACATACCCAATATCTAAATTTCATTTTTTACAGATATATAACATTGTAGCTGCATGAAATTGTGTATTTTATTTTTTTAATTATAATAATATTATTTTTGGGGGTGGTTTAAATGTAAGAAGCAAATTTAGATGATGGATATGTAAATACATCGGAGTTAGGTGGCATGTATGTATTATTGGTTATTTATTTATTTATTAACTGTAGTTGTTTGTGCGTTAACATCAACAAATAATAAATAAAATCATACGTATTAAATTTTTTTTTATGGAAAATTGTAAACTACTCTCTTCAATGTCTGGGCAAAATGGGGAGTGATTAATTGCAGTGAAACATATTATTCACACGAGTTGATTGATAATTTATGAAAGCTCTCATTGAAATTATGCTCAGAATGCTCGCAGTTCTAGACATTTAATGAACATTGAAGTGCGTACTGCGGTAAGTTCTTTTGATATTGATGATAGGTTGTGAGAATTTAATAAATTGGGATTTTTATGAGGATTTATTTTTTCAAGCAGAGAAATGCTTTCCTACTAACATATAATTAGACAAAAAAGTCCACCTTTTTTTCTTCTGAAACAAGCATGCCCGGCCATTTATTACTATTTCAGTTCTTCTTATGGTTCCAGGAACTGAAATCTCATAAAGAGTTCATTAATTCCGTAAATTGATTAATTAAGCCGAGAAGCTCTAATTAGTTATGCCATTGCAGGTCTCAAACTGGTTCATAAACGCGAGGGTTCGTCTCTGGAAGCCGATGGTGGAGGAGATGTACGTGGAGGAGATAAAGGAACAAGAACAGCTAAAGGCGGAAGAGAAGAGCAGCTACAGCGAAGCCAACGAGGACTCAGCTTCCAAAGCAAGCAGCCAAACAAAAACAGAGCAAGCCACAAGCTTTACATCCAAGCAGCAGGACAAATACAACGATCCAAAACCTTCTAATTCTATCGCTAGCTCGGTGACAAAGTTCAGAATATCTCAGAACCATGATGAAGAATGTCTGATGCAGCCATTTGTGAAGAAGGTGAGGAACAATGAAACTCTGCATCTCAACACCTTGCCGCATTCTCTGACGTTGGAGATGAAGCCGGAGGAGTTTAGCAACCGGGAACTTCTCATGAAGTTTATGGAGGCGAGGAGCGGGGGAAATAACGAGCACGCGCTGATGAAGGGAACCATGGGGGAGGTTTCAACGCATACGCCATTGGAGACATTGGGAGGTTTGACGGAGAGCAGTTCACTCCGAGCTTTCATGGTAATGGTGTTTCTCTAACTCTTGGACTCCAGCACTGTGAGTCTCTATCGTTAGCAGGAACAGAGCCGCCATATCTGTCCAACGCGAGCATTCCGATAGGAAACGAAGCCAATGCGTTCTGCAGCTTGAACAACAATCCACAGGCTTCTCACCCTTCGAATGGCTATGAAAGCATTGAGATTCAGAACCGGAAGAGGATTGCAGCTCAATTCTTAGACTTTGTAGCATGAAGCCTCTGCACTTCTTAATTAGTTCTTAGTTACAGAGTATTAATGGGGGTGTTTATGAAGTAATTTGATTGGAGGAGAGAAGCTAGTCATCAAGCAAACCTTCTCTTTTGGGCCTCCAACTCCAGACTTTGGTGTTCATTTCCTTCGCCTCGTGGGAGAAGAGGGAAAGGAGTGGATATAGTGTAAAGAACGAGTAGCTTGGGTTATAGTTTTATACTTCATAGAACCATTTGTGCTTGAAATTTAAGTAGATAAGGGTGAGTTTGAGTGGTGAAAATCTAGGGTGAGTGTATATTGTTTTAGACTTTTGGAGAATTTATAAATATAATGAACTTGCAATAATTTTATATGCAGTTAAATAATATGAAATTTGGCTTCGTGCATCATCTTCTTCTGCTTTTAAACTGATTCTATTATTTTTCTTAAATTAGTTTGGATTTTTTGTTTAGTGATGATACTTCTTGACGCCTAGGTGATCTAACACATGAGCTTCCATCACAGATTGTATGCATTCTATATAAATTAGGTTTCAGCTCTATCGTGTGCTCGTAAATTTATGGTTATAAGGTGGTGATAAGTTAGCATGTACGGTCTCTGTACAAAGATCCAACAAAGAGAAAAAGGTTTTCATAGGAGACATTGGAGTTTTAATGTAAGAAAGTCAGAAATAGAAAGAAATCACAAGGCTTTAACCAATTGAAATCATTCCAATAATATACGTCATTGGTTATAAATCATGTTGGTAAGCAAATGTGAATTAAATAGAAAAAATTCTATGATGGAAGTTCGGTAAGTCTCGCGGCACTATGGTTATCTTTTATAATAGTCTGCATTACTTTCTTTTTTTTTTTTTTTTTTCATCAAGGAGATGAGTCAAGAGAACAAGAGATCTCGTATAATTTTTGTGTAGATGATATTTACATCCATCCTATCAAAGATCATGTGCATTTGATATTGTACTAAGGATAGGCAACAAGGCTGACAAATATGTCAAAAACATGGACTGGCTTTATAAGCGATGCGTCAGTATTATAGTAAATAATATTGATTGATGAAATTTGTAATAAGACAATCAGAATTTAGCATCAAAGATGATTATGGGTCTGTTTGTCGCAGCTGCGGCTTAATAATATGTTGTTAAATAGCAACTGATGTGCATAAACTGTTGTCGATAAGACGATTGTCTTTTTTTTTTTTGCAGTTTGAAAACAGTTGTGTTGCAGCTGTTTCTGGACAAATAATCATTTTACCCCTATACAAAAATGTTGTTTGCAACATAACCAACACCCCTCTACAACCTCAGGACAAATAATCATTTTACCCCTATACAAAAATGTTTTTTGCAACATAACCAACACCTCCTCTACAACCTCACACCACCACCACCACACCACACCACACCACACACCATCACAACCACACCAAGCTCTAACTCTACAACACCACCCTCATACCACATACCGACAAATCCACCTCCACAACACACATCACTTTTACACCACACCATTGCCTATCATACCACGTACCAACAAATCCACCTCCATAGCACACATCACTTTTACACCACACCATTGCTTATATCGACACCACCTCCACAACCACACCAAAACCTAAAACCTACAACAGCGTATCCATACATAATACCAACAAATCCACACATGTCACATCACCACCTCAACAGAATATAGAAACTTTATACCACACCACTGCCTACCCATCACCCCACACCACTGCCTACCCATCACCTTCACACCACACACCATCACCTTAAACACCACACATCATCCACCACTGCCTACCCATCACCTCCACACCACACACCATCGCCTTAAACACGACACATCATTACTTTCAGAATACAACACAAAATCCATCATTTAGTGAAACCACCGCAAAATTACCACCATCGCCAAATAGAGTTGTATAGTACAACCAAAGAAAACACATTTGCATTCAATTAGTTTCCAGATGCAACCACCACTACCACCAAATTTTGAGCAACAACCAACATCACATCACAACCATTCAAATTTATAAACCTGATAGCGAATAGGGAACAAGGATGATCAAATCAAAAATATAACTGAGAGACCAATAAATTGCAAAATCTAGCAACATAATCCAACCAACCAAATCCATCAACCTAGTAGAGCACCAAAAAGAGAAATCCATCAACCGCACAAACTTAAATCCATCAACTGAAATTCACTCAAATTCCAACATCATAGCACAACAAACGGAAAACATCAAAGCATAACAAAGAACATAAATTTTCAACCCTAAATCAAAATGCCTCAATAGAAGGACGTAGAGAATACCATGGCAACAATAGAGATCCAATGATCCAAGAAGATCGAGAGACAAGCTCACTACAACTATCACCAACCAGCTGAAGAACAGAAGGCAGAGGGAGAAGAGAAGAGAAAGGAAAGAAACAACCCACATATCGAAGAGGATCAATAGATCCAATTTTTGGGCAAAATTTGTGAGAGACGAGAGAAGGGAGAGCGGGGACAAAAGCAATTGCAAGAGCTTCTAGCTGGGTAAGACAGTAAATGAATTGCAAAGAAACATTATGCTTTCCCACAAACGTAGCTGCACCGCTTTAACAAATTATCCACCACACCACACCACACCACACACCATCACAACCACACCAAGCTCTAACTCTACAACACCACACTCATACCACATACCGACAAATCCACCTCCACAACACACATCACTTTTACACCACACCATTGCCTATCATACCACGTACCAACAAATCCACCTCCACGGCACACATCACTTTTACACCACACCATTGCTTATATCGACACCACCTCCACAACCACACCAAAACCTAAAACCTACAACACCGTATCCATACATAATACCAACAAATCCACACATGTGACATCACCACCTCAACAGAATATAGAAACTTTATACCACACCACTGCCTACCCATCACCCCACACCACTGCCTACCCATCACCTCCACACCACACACCATCGCCTTAAACACGACACATCATTACTTTCAGAATACAACACAAAATCCATCATTTAGTGAAACCACCGCAAAATTACCACCATCGCCAAATAGAGTTGTATAGTACAACCAAAGAAAACACATTTGCATTCAATTAATTTCCAGATGCAACCACCACTACCACCAAATTTTGAGCAACAACCAACATCACATCACAACCATTCAAATTTATAAACCTGATAGCGAATAGGGAACAAGGATGATCAAATCAAAAATATAACTGAGAGACCAATAAATTGCAAAATCTAGCAACATAATCCAACCAACCAAATCCATCAACCTAGTAGAGCACCAAAAAGAGAAATCCATCAACCGCACAAACTTAAATCCATCCACTCAAATTCCAACATCATAGCACAACAAACGGAAAACATCAAAGCATAACAAAGAACATAAATTTTCAACCCTAAATCAAAATGCCTCAATAGAAGGACGTAGAGAATACCATGGCAACAATAGAGATCCAATGATCCAAGAAGATCGAGAGACAAGCTCACTACAACTATCACCAACCAGCTGAAGAACAGAAGGCAGAGGGAGAAGAGAAGAGAAAGGAAAGAAACAACCCACATATCGAAGAGGATCAATAGATCCAATTTTTGGGCAAAATTTGTGAGAGACGAGAGAAGGGAGAGCGGGGACAAAACCAATTGCATGAGCTTCTAGCTAGGTAAGACAGTAAATGAATTGCGAAGAAACATTCTGCTTTCCCACAAATGTAGCTGCACCGCTTTAACAAATTATCCAAATTGTGTTTTCAAGCCGCACCATGGTAAATAAGTCGTGCCAAACGGACCCTAAATGGTCATGGTCAGACAATCATGGTTCTATGATGGTGGTAGCCCAATGGTGATAGTGGTTCAATAATAGTGATGTGGTGGTCGTCAAGCAGCATTGATTTGATAATAGTCGTCAAGTGGTGGTGCTCTAACCATGATGCACAAGTGACAATGATCCAACAATATTAGACATTACTAGTGATTCAATAATAGTGGTTAGGAGACAATAGTCCCACCTTGGTGGTCAAATAATAACAGTAAAACGATATGGTCGAGCAATATAAATCTAATGATATTGGTCATATAAATTTCAAGGATTCTTAAGACGTCAAAATTCATCTCTATTTCCAATCTATATCTCCCTTCGTGTTAATATTCGTGTTAAGGGTGGTCCATTTATAAATATTAGAAGTTTTCATCAAAATATTAAAATCTAAAATATACCACTTGATAGCTAGAATAATTTTCTTGATTATAAGATATTCTTTGACTAGTTGATTGTGTTAATAATATTAGAATTAATCAATCTTAGACTTTCTTTTTGAGATGCTCAATTTAGTTATAAGCAAGTAAGATTTGAAGATCATCTGTCTCATTTTTCTCAATCATTATTCAAATGGTTAATTTAGGCTATTTTGGATGTTATTGGGTTTGTCTCTTTGGGTCATACAAATTGACTTTGATTATGTTGAAATCAAAGTCCGAGTGATCGTGAACTAAGCTCTAGAAGTTACATATCAATATTCATGTTTAATCAAATAAATTTTTCGAGAGCGAATCGGTTTCCTCTTTATTTTTTTAACTTCAATGTCTTTAATTATTTGAAAACATAAATCGAGTCCTTCAAATTATTTATGTTCTAAGATTACAAAATTGAAAATTTAATGAATGTCAATGTGAATATTTTCTCGAGATCATTAACTAAAAAAAAATGTCAACAATCATAATTTTTTATTTTGCTAGAATTTACGCATTGGTTGAGACAAAAAAAAAAATAATAATAATTTAAATTGACTCTAGGGACTTGGTTGGATTTTAAGAAAGCATTAAAAAGTGCCCCCGATTAAAAAAAATGCCAAAAAAGGCTAGCCCAAGCTCTGTTTCATACCAAAATGTATTTATGTGATCAAGCGCCCAGAATGACTAGCCATTTACAAGCCACAATGATAAGCAAATTTGTTTCTTAAAATATGAGGATCCAAAGGCCCAACACTAGATTTGCAAACATGAACCCTCATAGTGCTCACCCCCTTTTAATTTATTATTTTTTTTTTTTTTTCAAAATTTTCTTTCAAAAATCTTTTAAGAAATTAGTTTTGCTCCCAATAATTCTAATTAACTTTAGAAAAAATTCTAAATTTTCATTTCCTCCTATAAAAATGATAGTTTTAAAAGCCATCGAAGACGACCTGATTTAACTGTGAATTAGTACAGAGTTCACTTTAATTAATATTAAAAATCACCCCAAACAACAGACTGGCCGTAACTATTTTGAACCTTTGGTTCGACCGTCAAACTAGAGAACTGATCTGAGCTCTGAAAAATTGGTTGGTTCTTTCTTGAGTTA